ATATATATATATGTATTTTAAACTCCCAAGCCTTTGTTGAACTGTCTTCTGGAAGATGAAATTATATTTTAGAAGAACGTGTAGATAAGTTATCTGTGCTGTCCATAAATTTCCCACCCATCCCGTTTCAATGAAGTTTCTCCATAGTTAGGAGCTGGTAAAGTAATTTAGGTTAACACATGATCTCAGTGATGGAGTTCTGTGCTCAAACCCCCTAAAAGTTGGCGGCTGTTCAGAAAGAGGCCCAGGAACTTACTGAAACAGGCGTATAGGAAGGCCAAGAAGGGAGATGTGGCTATTTTTTGCTGAGATCAGAACTCGACTGAGAACTGGAGGGCTAATGCGAAAGTTCTAAAAAAAGGTAGTTTGGCAGGACCATTAGGATACTAAAATAGCAAAACTGGGTAAGAACAACAATAGAAAGTTGAAACTAGAAAGAAGTTACAGTAAAGCAAGGACCAATAAGTATTGTCTCCCCACATCCAATTTTGTGTTTGATAAAAGGGAGCCCCCAAGGATACCTGCATGTAACAGAAAGGAAGGAAAGTTAGTAAGGGAAGTTTGTAGAAGAGCAGTAACTTTGTATCTTTTTCATTTTTATAGAAGAGATCCAATGCAAACAGACAAACTTCTTTTTCTGAAGGATATGAAGGTCCAACAGAAGGAGTCGATAATTCTGACTCTTTAGAAAACTAGGCAACGTTATAGTCAGGTGGACATGGTGTACCTTGGGATGAAACTGAGGGACTGGTGTGTCCTAACAGACCATTGCCATTACTTCTGAGAAGCTATGCGGACGAAGGAAACATTACGGTTGGCAAAGGACAAGGGTTGTGTACCTCTTTTAAATGAGATTCTTAAAAAGGTGGTCTACAGTAATTTATTACCACCTGGTAGGTTTCCTATGACCTTGCAAGCAGTAATAATGGTGTGAGCATTTGTATAACTTCATCAGCTCATAGTAGTGGGGGCAGCAACACTGCATGCCCAGGTGAATAAGGATTTGCTGTTGATACCCATCTATGAAAAGGGAATTTGCCTGAACAGGGAGGAAAAGGCTGAGGAGGGGAGATGATGGCTTCAGTAAAGCAAATTGTGTTAAAGTGTTTAGTCTAGCACTCTCCAGATAAAACCAACTAGATAGGGAGAAACAAACTATCAAGTTGCTGGGGAGGTGTTCTCTATTGTAAGGCATGAACAAGTTATTGAAATGAAGAGTTTTGATGACATAACTCACTATCCCTGTCCAGTGTGTGCCCACTGCTTGCCCTGTTTTGATTCAGTTCATTTACCAGCCTTCTGAGTCACTTCCTGGGTAACTTGACATCCTGGGTTGGGTGTTCTCTGGTTACTGGATATCTCTAGGGATAATGAGAGAGTTTTGCCTTATTCATTGGTCTTCACAGAATTTAGTTTGCATGAGTGTCATCTAGAGAAGGGTGTCCACAAACTTTTCCTTAAAGGACCTGATAGTAAGTATTTTAGGCTTCATCAGCAAAGACACAAATTAAAGATGTTATATATAGGTACTTATATAACTATTTAAAATGTAGCCATTTAAAAATGTAAAAATAATTCTTTGCTGGTAGGTTTTAAAAAATCAGGCAGCTGGCTGGGTTTGGCTCATGGGCTGTCATTTGCCAACTGCTGATCTAGAGACTCAGAGTCTCTCAATCTACTAAAAATATCTAGGTTTTGGACCTGATTGTTGCCTGGAACATGACAATTAAATCAAAGCCCTGTCTGTAACCAAGTGTCCTTCATTGTCACAGCCACCTACCCTCCTCACCCTGACACTCCTCAGATGTATCTCCACTTAGTTTGAAGGCAGCCTAGAAAAGCGTGAACTACCAGGAAACCACTGGTAAGACTTATCTGCTCTTAGATAAATCTAGTTCCCTTCAATGTTAGAACGACAGGCCACACAGCAATTGGGCAAGGAATGACTGTTCCTCCTGGTTGTTTGTAGAAAGTCTTTTGGTAATTGATGGAAGTAACATTTTCACTGGATGAACCAGTAACAGCCATCCAGCTGGACTGCATCACATTAAGATATCCTCCAAGTTCCTCAAAAAGTTACACCTTGAGTTACTTTATAACCGAGTAATTCCACTCCTAGCTATATACTGAATAGAATTGGAAATACATGTGTACATAAAAACTCGTATATGTATGTTCACAGCATTATTTATAATAGCCCAAAAGTGAGAACAACCAAAATGTCCATTGCTGATAGTGGATACACAAAATGTGGTATATCATATAATTGGTTGTTCAGTCATTAAAAGGAATGAAGTACTGATACATGCCACAGTGTGAATGAACCTTGAAAGCATAGCACACTGAAAGAATCCAGACACAAAAGGATCCAAGTCACATAACTCCACTTATATGAACTGTCCAGAATAGGCAAATTATATGAAATGTCCCTACAGACAGAAAGTAGATTAGTGGTTGCCAGGGGCTGAGGAGAGTGGGGATGGGGAGTGACTATTTATGGGTAAGGAGTTTCTTTTGAGCTGATGAGAGTGTTTTGGAATTAAATGGTTGCACAACCTGTGAATATATACCACAAGCCATGTTATTAAAAATAACATGAAAATATTTACAAAATCACTTCCAAATAGGTAGCTAATAAAGCTTCAAGGAATGGAACTCGTCAGCTCTCTCAAAAGTCCTAAGGCTGTTGTGGGGTAGAGGAGTTTGCTTTATCCAGTGTTTTCCTTGGTCACTTGTAGAAAAGAGGACGTAAACCCAGTCTGTTGGTTTAGTAGTATTTTTAACACCAAGGAAGAAGAAAGGTTGAAACGACATGGTAACATTTGAAAGGCAATCTTATAAAAACGGTTAGATGAGATTATTAGAATACCATATGCTCAGGAGCAAACCCAAATAACTCACGCATAAAGAGATTAGTTTGGCATAACCCACTAGAAAAAGACCTTGAGGGTAATAAGTATCCACATCAGACTATCTGCTGATGTAGTAAAAATACCATGGGATGCTTGATAATGTTAAAACCAGAAAATAATATCTCTGTCATAGACATTTTTACCATCAGGGTTATATGTACTGGAGAGCTTACTAAGGTAGCGTGTAGAGTTACTTAAAAAGGAGAGCTTTAGGATGAGCAGAAATATCCATGTAACTAAAATGGCTCCCTAGACAGCTGCTTTGCAGACAATGCCAAGGGTCCTACAGCTAAAAGATTGGGGAAATCTCTGATTTAAATATTCAACTGCTTTGTCTCTTTTT